TCTATTACGAGACGAAGCGGATTAGTTAGTGTAATTTTAACTGCTGTATTGTTGTATGGTTAATATGCTGTTGTACTTGTCTTTGTGTGAATTGCCTTTTGTACTGTACACCGCCGTGAGTCGCCCGAGTGGGCTGAGAATGGCGGTTAATAAATGCTCCAAATAAATAAATAAATAAATCTCTTTCTTTATTTCCTCTTGTTTTTCAACCATCTCCTTCTTTGTTGCATCTTGTTTTTCCGATAGTTTTTTAATTTCCTTAAGTATATTCTCCATGCTTAAGCTGGTATCTAGTGAAGCTCTCCTTACTTGAAGTTTTTCTTTATCTGATTTTCCTTTCATTGACATCAACTTCCCAACCAAATCTTTAAGCTGGATAACCTTTTAATCCCTTAGTCCAAATATTTGGTTTTATTCCTCCTCAATCACTTTAATTTTAATTTTAATTTATTCTCTTCAAATAATTTCTTATATCAATTCATTCATCAAATATTTTCTAACTAATTTATTATAGAGTAGATCAATTCCTTAAAAATTCATTAAATCCAATTTAGTTATATTAATATTAATTGATTTATATTTTCCTCTAATTCTTTTTTCTTTCCTGTCTTTGCAGCTTTCCTGTTCAATTCCTTCTTATTCTAATTTCAGCTTCTTCTCCTCTTTCTGTTATTTACGTCTACTTCTCTTCCTTGGGTCTCGTCTGCTTCTCGTCCTTGAGTTTCGTCTACTTCTCGTCCTGGCTCCACGTCTGCTTCTCGTCCTTGAATTTCGTCTGCTTCTCGTCCTAGCTCCACGTCTGCTTCTTGTCCCCGATGTTCTTCTCTATCCTTCAGCCACTGTTGTCCTTAAATATCTATTTGTTTAGGATTTACACTGTATTTGCCGCTCTGCCGCTCTGTAGCGATGTTTCTCTATGGTTTCTCTATGGTTTCTCTATGGTTCCAACTTCCTCCTCCCAACTTCCGCCCTTCTTGAAGCTCTTCCGCCCTTTCTTTGTTTCTCCACCCTTTCCTCCCACAGCCTTCTTCTTCGTCACTTCCTCTTTGTCACTTCCTGCCTTGTCCTTTCCTTTTGTTTATAAAGAAGAGTGCCAGTTAGACACAACAATATGGCACCAAGGTCAGGAATTTTCCTTCTTCGTTAACTACTAGGCTGAGTGGGAGGATAAGGGAATCGGGGGGGGCAGGAGGAGGGGGACTCTCACAGCATATAATATCTTCTCACTTCTTTCAGTTTATCTCATTCGTTTCCCTGTCTTCCAGATGCTTATTTTAATTTAGTTTAATTAATATTGTTTAGTTAATTATCTAAGCCAAAATAAATCAAAAAGCGGTGAGTAACTATGTAATTTGATAAGTATTATCCAAATTGATCTATTCACAATAGCCCTTTCCGGGTTTTAAAATATAGCTTTAAATTTCGGGGGGGAAAGGTTCCCCCTTGATTTTGTCTCCTTATCTATCTTCTTCCTTCCTTCTCCTCTTCTGTTCAAATCTTTTACCTGGTGTTGAGATATTCTTTAATTTCTCTTTTGAGTTTCTTAATTTCTTCTTCGTATTTGTTGCATGGGCTGGCAGCGGTTGAAACGGGTCAATGCCCGATCCCAGCGGGGCGCCTGTTCTCCCGTCGGCTCGGACCCTCTTTACCCCCCTCCTTGAGGGAAGGGAGTATTTGGGGTCTACGAGCCTCCCACGGGTTACTCTACACCTTCACACTCAATCTGGTGATGGTGGGGGAGCTTAATCTCACCCTTAAGGCGCCTCAACGCTGGTCCGCATCGGAGCTCCCTCTCAATGCAGCTTTCCCGTCGCCATCACCCACCGGAAGTCGACTATGGTCAATTTTCAGGATACATGGACTATAGAAAATGGTTTTCATTTGGTTTTTCATTTTTGTGGGGATCCTGTGCCTGTAGCCCAGCAACTGTGGACAGCTGACTGTATAATGGGACCTGGATCCTTGATTTCCAGTAACTGTGGAACACTGCACCTTATTAAATGGAAGCAACATGAATACAAACATACTGAAGTGTTCAAGTTCACACTGCTGCCATTTAATAACCGGGGATGTGATTATTTGTTTCCTTGTATCTGCTGCAAACATTCAAAAGCAGATGAGGCGGGTTCACTGTAAAATAATTTTATCATTGCAATGTCTCTTTTTGCAGGGATGCCTTCCTAAGCAGCATGGAATGCGATCTCCTGCAATGCAAAGTGCTGGAGCTCATTTTTCAACATAGTACTGTTCCTACTAAGGGTCCCTTGTCTTTGACCAGGATCTTAAAGTTGCTGCAAAGCTTTTCTCTGCCACTAATATACCAGGTATTTCAGTGTTTGTTTCCATTATTCATCTTATGGAAATAAAATAGTTTTTGGGCTTGCCCCCTCCCATTCCTTAATCTTCCATCACAGGATGCACCATGTAATGTGCAGAATTATCAAAATAGCAGATAAACAATCCAAACTAAAGCATCTCTCTTCACAGGACAATGAAGCACCATGGCAGGGATGGGATGAGATGCTTCACCATTTGAATTTGTTGTTGAAGAGTTATTGCAGCATAATCCTAGGTGAGCATCTTGCTTATAATTCTTTGTCTTAAACAGTACATAATCTAGTCATAATACACTGCTAAAGAGTCAACTGGAAAATTCCTGACAGACCTTCTCAGCCCTGCTTATATGTTCCTTCAGTTGCCATTTTCATGAAGTGTTTAACCAGGCTATATATATGATCCGTCATATATACATTTCTTGAACAACAAAGGATAGTATCAGCTATGTAAGAAAAAGAAATGCCATTCTTGTGTTCTGTATTCAATTTTCCAAGGATGTTTTTATTATGTAAATATTTTATATACTCATGCAGAGGTTTAGAAATTTTAGTCAAAAAGCAAACCCCCAAAACCTGGTTTGACTTATTCACAGGTCAGTGTGAGTGTTGTACCTTAATTCTTATAAAAAAATAGAACTATCCCCTTCTGAGTGGCAAAAGGTGAGAGCTAATCTGTCTTGAAAAAATTCCTTTCTCCATACTGATGCCACTTCTGGCCTTTTTGAATACCTAGATAGGGAAATGGCAGAGACAGCTAGCTCTGAAGCAACACTGATGCTTTATGCTCTCAGCATAACTTATCCACGAGTCATGTGAGAATCTTAATTTAGGCCCCAAACCCTATCCTCAACTTATAGAAGGTAAGCTCTGATCTCCTGTGTAAGTGTAGACAGTATATGCAGTCTCCTTCACACTTCAGTAACTTTCCATGTCTTTCCCCCCTTTTTTTATAGGGCACTTAAGAAGCCCAATCTATGAGCGGATTAATTTAATTATAAAGGGTGCTAAACCCAAATTACAATCAGAAGATTGTATTAAAGAAAGTGATATAAAGTGCAGAATTCAAAGCTTCCAAAAACAGCTTTCTAAAACTACTCAGCAGCCAATCCCATCGTCCATCATAGAAAAAATAGAACTACTTCAGATACAGCTACTTACTGCTCTGGATACCTAAAGGATGACTGCTGGACTGCTAAAAAAGGGAGCTTCTTTCAAGTAGAAATGCCAAGCTATGGATTTAAAAGAAACACTGGTTCCAATCCCATTTTTACATTGTTATGAGATTGTCAAACAATTGAAAGTCTTCAGTTTAGCCTGAAATTGGTCTGTGACTGTTTCCATGTGGATTTTGTACTACTTTTGTAATAAATTATATTATTACTTATGGAGTGAGATGACTTTTTTTTAAAAAAAAGTTGTGGATAAGTACATTGGAAATTATGAGCTAGTACAGATTTATTCAGCCACCAATCCCCTTGGAATTCAGCAATGCACATTTTAGTTAAGTGGGCATGAAAGTATTGGCTTATTAGCATGTAGTAAAGATTTTGCATTATGATACTGTTGTAATAATGACCTCAAGATATGCATTCAGAAGGGGTGTTTTTAATTCCATGGAATAGTCAGGAATAGAGACATGAGCACAAAACATCACAAAATAAATTAAACATTAATCAAATGCTGAATCACTGTTTACTGCATAGAAGTGGTAATGACAATAACTAAACGAAGTTGGCAAGAGCCAGAATGCTATCAAAGGAACACATATCCAAGATGTGGTTATAAGGATGGATCAGACATTAGTAAGTTGTTGAGTGATATCACAACCTCACAGTTTATAGAAAAGACACAGGTCACTCTAGGGCATAAAAAAGCTTAGTGAGAAGGTCCTTCATAAACATGCCATTACACAAAGGAACGTCTATATAACAGATATCCCAAGGCTGCTACATAATAAAGTAACGCCAGCCTGTGGCTTAAGAGTTGAAATCAGGAGTGGGCAAAGTACAGCCCTCTAAGTGTTTCACTGCACCTCCCAGATGCCCTTGCAAGGACAGCCAATGAGGAGGAATGCTGGAGTTTTAGCTCAAGAAAAGAAGGGTTGTATATGCTCCGCTTGCCTTGGACTGGATACACAATGTCTTCCCTTGCCTGACATAAACATGTCAAAAGAGACAACTATATCACTTGTTACTAATGTTCACAACTAATGTAAGCAGCTCAGCTAGATTCTTCCCATGTTCTAAGCAATTTAACTTGGAAACATTTATTTCCAGAATAAGCTTAGATGCCCATTGTCTCTTTCTCATTAATTATACTTCCATTTCACATCCTTTCTTTTCAAAGTGTCACTAGAATTTTCCAAAGCCCTTGAATCCACATGTAATAGGCATGATTCCCTTTTTTATTAGAGACTTGTTACACCCTGGGACTGAAGGACTTTGCCAATGATATACTGAGCCATTCAATGTCAGGAACAAACTTCACAAACCATGTCATGCGTGTCATACTATAGGCCTTTGAAAGGGCATGCCCCAACATTAAGGCATAGATCTCTTGTAACTGAAACAGCCAAAGCAGATTTCCAAAACCTCCTAGGAACAAGCCTTCAAAAAAACATTCGACCAGAGAATGCCAAAATCCCTTAAAAGTTGAAATAAGGAATATTTAAGAGGCTAAAGTCACACACAACCCCACAATAACCTGGCATAAATAAAGCAGATGTCCACACAAGAGCCAGTCACAGCAGATCAGACAGTCAAGCTACAAAAAACAAAACTTGAACGTGATGGTGGTTTTCCCATTATAAAACAAGGCTATGTATGTGTCAGAAATACACTGGCAAGATGGCTATGATTTGTGCTGCACAGAAGAAATGCTTGGAATGAAAAAAGACCCAATAAAGCCATAAAACTCCTCAAGATGTTTCATCACATATGTAATGCTGAACTAAAAGAGGCCATCCGCTGTCAACTGTAGAAAGGAATGGGAAAAAGCAGATGGAGTATTTGGTCCCAAGATCATGACCAGACCCTATAAGCAGAGGTGTTCCTAGAACCCAGTTGGAGTGAGCACATTCATGTCCCGAGGCTTGAGGTTATGGGAACGTGGGGACCGCCTCTTTTCTTCCATAGCAGGGATGTCCATCTTGGGGGGCTTAAACGTTGCAGAATCTTCTGCCGCCCGAGTGGCCTGGGCACGCATAAGTTCCATTGGAGTTGGCTTCTGGGCACCTTTATAGGCCTGGATAGTAAAGCCCCCTAAGGAAAGCAAAATGTACAAAGCAGGAAAGAACAAGAGAGTATTAGGCTACGACTATGCATGCCTGCACATTTACAGCTGCCCACAGGACAATATTCTTAAACAAGTGACATTTTACCAAGTTCTTTTACTATTACTTGGGTGCCCAGAACAGTTAGTTCTCATAATAGTGATAATGTAAAATAATTGCACTGAAAAACATAGACACATATTATTCTGCGATAACCAACACTTGATTTTCTGGCTGGGTTTTGAATGTAGCAAATCCTATAACACAAATTGTGGAAAGTTGCAAACTGCAGAAACCCATCTGACACATATGCTCCTGCAGCTTCAGTTCAGTTCTTGCACATTTATTTTTCTCTATTTTGAATGCTATTCATAACCTTTATCTTAATGGCTTTAGTCTTCCAAGCCAAGTTGAATTCTAGATCTCAGCTTCTTTGCTGCTATCTGAGCACAGATTTCAGTCATCCCCGTCCTTAAAATCACAATATACCTGTGCTAGTAGTGGATCTCTGAAGAGTCCTTGGTCCAAAGAGGCTCCATTTTTCCGATGGTATTTTATCGCCATCTCCACCGCTGGAGTCCATTGAGGCAAGATCAGGGGCAGTGATGGAATTGGAGGTTCCGTGACTAAACCAGCCCCTGAAAGAAAGAAAGAACAACTAAGAACACAAACTACACAAAGCAGATTTTAGCAGCATCAGACAGTTCAATCTTCAACATAATAACACATGCATTCAAGTCGCTTGATAGAAGATAAACTCCAAGATACCTTGTGTAAGCCATTTAACACAAAAATGAAACAATGTATATTATTAAAAACAGAACAAAATGAACTGTACATGTTTATAATGGATACACATTTACCATATCCAAAGGAAGCTGAAATATACCTGTAGGTGCGCTTGGGAGAGGACTGCGGAGTGCTGCTTGGAGTGGATTGAGCAGAAGAGGTCTGTTTATCTTCTTTTGCCATGTCTCCACTTTGCATTTTTAGATTCTGTTAAGAGCAAACACATACAAATGGAAGCTTCCCAAACTTCACCAGTGAACAATCCATAGTCCATCAACAGCTTACTTCATTAGTAAGGTATTAGTAATAAAAACATTTAGTGTCTGTCAAGATTTTACAAGGAGCGTAACACAGAGAGAAGCAGTTCCATTCCAAAACCTGCCAACTTCAAAATGGCTACCCATTTATAGCTTAACCCGATGTTCAATGGCTAGATATGAGCACAAGAGCTGGTTCCCAGAAACAGGAAAAAGCACACTTTATCTCAGGAAAGTGGGTTGTTGATGCACTGGAAATAAAAAATGTACCTTGAGTTGTTATAGGTTTTTTGGGCTATATGGCCATGGTCTAGAGGCATTCTCTCCTGACGTTTCGCCTGCATCTATGGCAAGCATCCTCAAAGGTAGTGAGGTCTGTTGGAACTAGGAAAAAGGGGTTTATATATCTGTGGAATGGCCATGGTAGAACAAAGGACTCTTATCTGCTGGAGCTAGGTGTGAATGTTTCAACTGACCACCTTGATTAGCATATAATGGCCTGACAGTGCCTGGAGCAAATGTTTTGTCGAGACAAAAGAGTCCTTTGTTCTACCATGGCCATTCCACAGATATATAAACCCCTTTTTCCTAGTTCCAACAGACCTCACTACCTCTGAGGATGCTTGCCATAGGTGCAGGCGAAACGTCAGGAGAGAATGCCTTTAGGCCATGGCCATATAGCCCCAAAAAAACCTACAACAACCCAGTGATTCCGGCCATGAAAGCCTTTGACAATACAATGTACCTTGAGTCGGAAACCATTTGGGTCTCAAAGTTTGGCTTCCCTCCCCAGGCTCTGGGTAGATTATATCAAGATGAGACTCTGCTCCAAACCTTTACTTCAGTGGTTCTCAACCCCAGATGTTTTGGCCTACAACTCCCAGAAATCCCAGCCCGATTACCAGCTGTTAGGATTTCTGGGAGTTGAAAGCCAAAATATCTGGGGACCCACAGGATGAGAACCACTGCTCTACCTGAAAGTCATCTGACCCCTTCCCAATGCCCCTTCAACATCCTTTGTGCAGCGCCACAATAAATGTCCCCTCCCACACCCCTTGCCCTCCCACTGAACAGACAGGGGACCTGAAAGTAATCTGGCTCTACTTTCAATCAATTCACGGATCATATTTCCAAGTGGGAAGCTGAGCAGGGCCAAGTGAAATCCCACTCTTATTTTTCCAAGGTTCCCAAATGGGAAGGTGAAAGAGGCTGGGCAGAACTACATTCTCTCTCATTACTGTTCAGATCTTCTTGTGGTATTCTCCTTCACTCTGCTTGGCTTCGTAATTGCAAAGACTACTGTCAGACAAAAGCTTTTTCACTTCAAAGAGTGACGCCACCATGGGACTCTGAAGGCTGGATTACAATGGGAGGGAGAAGAGTCTCCTCATCCCTGACATACAGTTAGCTCCATTACAAATGCTCAGGGCCTGAATTGAGAATTGAATTAATTGCATGTACATGTTATCTTTAATATATTCTACACAATATTCTGAAACAGCAGAAAAATTCCAAACCAATCATAATATGTTAAAGACACCCACCAGCAAATATCCCATCCCTCCATATACTGTCATGACTAACTAGCTCTATGAACGAAAGTAATTGACTAATTAGAAGTCCTGTGGGACTCAGGCACCTTACATGGAACGACTCAGCCACACGATGGTATTTTGTCTCCTCTGCAGTGAGGCCCTTGTGAGGAGTGTATCCGGCATCTCTCAGCCCTGCCTGCTGCTCAAAGCGCTGAATGCTCTCCTGAGTTTGTTCTAGAACGGACAATATGACACATTCACACAAGCCACAAAACACTGCTGCCTGCCATAGAGTTCTATGAGGGCATGTCATATAGTACTTATAGTTACTAGAAATGTTTAAGTATGGGGTGGGAAGAGGTAGGTGGGAGTTAAAACGTGTGCTAAATACAGATTGAGCATTCCTTATCTGAAATGCTTGGGACCAGAAGTCTTTTGGATTTTTTCAGTCTGGAATATCTGCATATACATAATGAGATGTATTAGAGATTGGACACAAGCCTAACAACAAGCTTTATTTCTGTTTCATATCAACT